TTGCTATTTCTACGCACTAGAAGAAGAAGAAAAAGGTAAACAATGGCGACCTCTTTTTTGATTTTCCAAATCGGTCGCGGAGGTTCTTCCAAATTTTCCAGCATATGGCCCCCCTCATTTCTGTGTTCCTTCATTGAAGGATCGTACAGATGCCTGTAAGAGGCGCACTTGCTCAGAAAGCTTGCCCTCGAACTCGTCCATCTTCCTGTTCCTGTTGTTGGCGCGCTCAGCTGAAAAATAAAGAGTCTTGCGCGACCTGGCCTAAATCCTGGCGCACCAGCGAGATCTACATCATTTTGACGTCACATTGTCGCGCGACAGGTCGGGAACGGCGAGTATACAAGACGCTTTAGTCTCTGAACACTACATACTATAATTCACATACAACACTTCATTTGGATAGTCAACAACCAGTTTCTGACATTACACCGCTGTGGTTAAAGTTTGATTATAGGCACAAGAAACATCTTGGTTAGGGTATGATCATGAACACATTACATATACTTTAATCTTTTAAACATCTACAGACGAAGCGAAACATCTGAAATGTTACAAATACTCCTGCCTACCAGCACCTTTAAAGGTCATTAATTTATATATTGTATCTTTTTTGTTCAATCTGTACAAAAGCTAACGTTTAAAAGCAACAATTTGATGGTGACCTTTTTGGCTGGGTCTATAACTTTGTTGTGGAGTTTCCACTGGTTTCCTGGGATTTAGTTTTACAGGTATGTGGTCATAAACCTCCCTGAGGAGGATATGGATGTCTGAACCAAAGATAATGGTTAATAGGTTAATAAGTCTCTCGTCCTCACGTACCTGCTGATCAAACAGAGCCCAGAACATTGGCAGCGGGATGTAGAGCACCAAAACCCGGAGCACCATCTTTATCTCCTGGATCAGACGCTTCTGTTAACACACGAACACACAGGTGGACGGGTTATTGATGACCAACACTCTTTTGACTTTTTCCAGATGGACAAATACAAATGGTTGTATGAAGAGTTAATAGTAGGAATTATTTTGTTACCGAGTACTTCTCGTCAGCCCAGTCCAACCAGTGCTTTCTCTGAGGCTCATACCTCCGTCTCTGCCAGCGGTTTTTGATGGCAAACTGCAAACCGAAAAAACAGAAATTAAAAAATAACCTTTATTACAGCACAAAACGAGTTTTGGCAGTAAATAGAGATGAATAAATCAGTTTGCACTTTCATAAATCATTTGATACGATTCAGATGACTCACCCCAATGCAATTGCAGACTTCCAGCAGGATGTTTCCCTGGGGAGGATTCCTCTTGTACAGGCTGCTGCCGGCAATGAACACAACTGTACAAGATGGATGAAGAGTTAGACAGTTTATGTTGGAAATGGCTCAGCTGTTGTGCAAACAATTGCTCCACTTGCCTGGTATCAGGAGTACCACATGCTCATATCAGCTATATGTATTCCCTAGCCAACAAGAGGAAACAGCAGATTCTGACAGAGTTGTTTACCATTTAAGGATTTCTGTCCTCTTACAGTGGCTTATGAAATGTTGTAAACATGCCAAGCTTTAGTCTGGCAGTTCACACATTGAAAGCCGTACTTTGTCTCACCCACGCTGCGATCTGTCCGCGGCCCCTCCGGTTATAAAATCAGTTTGTTTTCACAGTGAGCGGTCAGCCAAGCATGAATCCCATAAGGTCCAGTGGGGACGGGGATTCAGAGGCAGAGACAACTGCCTGTCAGGACGTATGTGGAGGGGCCTTGATCAAGAGGAAGCCCAGCCTGTCAAAAGCTGGACTTCATACAAACATGCTCTCAGCATGCAGATCGCAGCCTGAACTAATTTGGGATAATGAAATGTGACAATTAATTTGGACATTCCAGTTGAGAACCGGTTCCAAAATGATTTGATCCATCGGAATCGTATGCCTCAGTTCAAAAGCTTATCAATTCCTTTCATCAATGCCGGCATGTTTTTCTGACAGTTGCACATTGCAAAACAATGATGTCAAACTCATGCGTCTACACTGCTAGAAACAATCCAATGTGTGGCTTCATTTGACGATGAAAGATGACAACAGCACAGATAAGCATATACGCTAATGGAATTGGTATCAAGACATTCTTATGGATTCTCATCCTTATTCACTGTCCGTGCTTTCACTACTATGTGGATTACATCTGACTGGATGATGTTACAGGTGGATGGACGTGGACTCACCTAAAGCCACGACCATCAGAGCTGCAGGAACCCCGAAGGCCAGAGCGTAGCAGTCACCACCGAAACACTGCACATCACCTGCGGCAGCAAGTCCAACGTTAGTGGCATAACACAGTGATGTTCAGTGAACCACATTAGGTATATGAATGCTCACCTCTCAGTACGGGTGTAATCACAGTTGACAAGAGGCTCCCAGCGTTAATTGACATGTAGAAAATGGAGAAGAATTTCTGCCTCTCGCTGACCTGGAGGTGATCAACAAACTAAAGATGAGACACTGATTTGATCTGAACATTGTATTTTATGATATTTCAGTCCCCATTAAGGTTTCAGGCTAGTTTTCTAAACACTGTGATTACTGTGTAAAGCTAAATATAAGAGACACGATGCAATTCTAGCACTGCAGAGATTTATGTAACCCATTTTTAATTTGTTTTTCTTTTCTGGCAATCCTATATTAAAGCTGCTTATTTGTTACTTTATAGTCAAAACTAGTACAAACATAAACATTTAAAGCTCTGTTTGGTCTATAACATCGTACTGAGTGCATAATGGTGGCATAACAGTTAAGCAGCTTTTACAGACACCATTACTTTAATTTATAAAAGTTATTTGCTAATTCAATCAAAGTCCAACAGCAAAGGATGGTCCTTTGAAAGACTTGAATGAATTTACACTCACTACCGATCTGATTTTTCTAGATATACATGGATTTTAGTGGCTACATTCACAGATTATTGTTATTACTGTGTCCTTTAAACTGCGTTTAAATTTTCAAACTAAAGAAGAAGAAGCCTTACATTCTCCTCGTCAAACTGGTCTCCTCCAAACGCTGCCACACAGGGTTTGATTCCCCCGGTGCCGAAGGCTATGAGTATCAACCCTACCATGGACAGAGCGCTGCAACACACACAGATGATATATAATATATATATATATATATAGAGAGAGAGTACGTATTAACTGTCGTAATAACACTACAGTATTAGTATATTCATTGATTCGTCAATCAATTAATCAGAATATTAATACATTGTGATATCATTCATTTATCGGGGGGGTTCTGAACTGAGAAAAAGCTGCTAATCTAGTTTTAAAACAATTTTGATTAATTTGATTCATCTATTAAAAGTTATGTAATTTATTTATACATTTAAAAAGAACTTTCAAATATATTTTAAAAGAACATAGTCATACAATACAGTAAAGAGGAGGGTAAAGAGATGCCAAACATTTGTTCCAGTTTCTAAAGAAGGAAACTTTGATGTTTTCTCAGACTGTTTGAACTTATGTACATGCCATACAGTCTAATTGACTGTTTAATAATTTGTAAGAGTAATTTAAGTAATTTGTAAAATAGAGAAAATAATATAAACATATAAATATAACATATAAATCGATAATGAAAATAATCATTGAAAATGATGATCTCATGTTGAAGACCTGAGAACCACTGCCTACATCTCTATTATATTGAGCGATTCAAAGTGAAAAAAAAATGGAAATTCAGTCTGATACACAGTAATGATAAAGAGCGCTTTGGCTACATTCACACTGTAGGCACAAGCGTCCCAAATCAGATTTTTTTTTTGCTTACATGTGACTCAGATCTGTTCATGACAGTGTGAACAACACGGATCACATGGAATCTGATCTTTTCACATACAGGTCTGATTTTTTGCAATGTGACCTCAGTAGTAACAGTCATCCATTTTTATGTGATTATGTGAGTCACTCTAGATCAACATCTGTCATGCTGGTCACTTCAGGACGGTGACCTGTTCACACAGGAATATGATATGGGCCAAATTTAGAAAGTAATATGAACAGCCAAAAAAAATACCAAATCTGATCTGAGCAATAAATTTAGAATTGAGCACTAAGGCTTGCAGTATGAACATACACACACCTTATTGCTCTGTATAACATGACTGAACTCAGTTTCTGCCTGCTCAAAATAAGCGAATCAGCTGCTGATAACTTACATGTGCACATCGGTGTTCCCCACAGTGGGAATGGCACCCACCGACTTGACCACATGGCCGATCACATACACAATGGACAGGTAGACGATGGTCCTGTGGACAGCAAACTGTGATTACGTACATTCAGATTGCACTCTTATTATATCTGTGAGTGTGTGAGTGTGTGTGTGTGGCCCGAGTGATTCATCTCCACTAATAGGTGCTGTTACACAATTCAGACAAAGCTCCCAGGTTAAAGGGATGAAACACTGCATGATGTATCGCAAATTGAAATCATGTGCCACAGATGACGATGCATGATGATCATTTCTATTAACTGCAACTATTTTGTTTTATTTCTTAAATTGTCACACCCCATCTATGACACTATGACACCTAACACACCTCCCGTGACTTTTTTTTTGTAGTAGATATAATTATCTGGACACATAGTTTTCAGCACACTGCGGATGAGTTGCTTTTTTAATCTAGCTTTCAATAACACATAAAACTAAAACTACTTGCTTGATACCTCTGTTTTTAGTTATTCTGTATGAATGCACACAAGGATGAAACACACAGGGACTCACTTGAATTTTCCAAGCCAGGAGTCAGCGATGAGAGCTCCCAGTATGGGTGTGAAGTAGCAGAGGCTGCTGAAGGCATGGTAGACAGCGGTGGAAAGGTCCTTGTCCCAGTGTAGGTATGTGAGGAAGTAGAGTGTCAGCACCGCTGAGAACAAACACACTAGCATGAGCTGTGACCCAGCTCAGGGGATCGATACTCCCAAGCCCACATGTAACGTCGAAATACCTCAGAACATGTCAACAAGATCTGTTCTATCCCAAAGCATCTTCCTCCATTATTCAAACCCACAGATTTATTTTATTTAGTTCATGCTAAGGAGAGCCCAATGTTTCCAAAGATATCAAATTTTTCTGGCTGAATTTGGAGGGAACGTGTATAAAATGATGGACAAAACATCTACAATATTTCCATCTGATAGAATGGTTGGGTTTGAATATTTAACTTATTTAACAAGCTAATTGAAGAATAGGGCCAAAATGATACAATATATATATGAGATACCTTAAAGCCACTGCAGAAAAAAATAAAGGGGATGTAGAGGGAAGATCTCCTCTGTTTGCTGTTGTTACCAGCCTGGAGGTGTTTTTCATGACAACATTAGCCATTATGGATGAACAGGAGTCACATGTCCATGTTTACCATTAACCTTGTAAGCTGTTTGTCCAACATCTGCAAGTATCACAGCTTATATTGTAAACTCTGCAACCAGAGAACCTGTCGCGCTAACATATACCACTTTGTCTGCCATTTGGTAGAAAACACTGAATTATATGACCCAAAATGTCTTTAATCAAGGTCCACTTTCTAGCTTTTTCCTGAGCTTCCACTCGCATGTTGTGGTCTTCCTGAACAGTTGGAGTTTGCTGCGAGTTGAGATTAAAAGCAGACATTGAGATACGCTTTTGTTTTTTTTGTCAAACTATGTTAAGAATGAACTTTGACAAGTTCAATCAAAAGCTGTTCAGTTGCATTAACAGCATGTTATATACTGTACAAGTTTAGTAGTAGTAGTTTCACAGTTAGCAGTCCCTCTAGGAAGTTGCATTGTTTCTGTTAGCACTTTGCACAAATTCAACCAATCACTATGAATTCTACACAACGTCGCAATTTTGTCTAATCACCGCAATTATTCTGAAAATGTGACCAATCATTGTTATTTCACCAATCAGAGCAGCAATATAACCTGGAGGGACTGAGTTACTGTCATGGTAACAGAGTGCATTTTAAAAGGAGTTTGGTTTGGCGTTAACTGATGTCTTTAACATGATCTTTACCTATGTAGAGTAACAGATTACATAAATAATAAATAAATATATTGATAACAACAATAATTTGTAACCGATCTGCTAAAGGAATATATATATATATACTTCTCCTACAACTATTTTGTAGTGTGTGTGTGTGTGTGTGTGTGTGTGGCTGATTGAAGTAATGTGGCAGACAGACATGTCATGTGAGGGCAAGACAGAGACTCCAGCTTTATCTGTCTATTGTAGGTCCTCTGTTTTATTGTCAATTTAACAAGCTGAGCATCATTACCTATCCAACTTTGTGTCAAGCACTAAGCACAAGAGCCAAAGCCACTGAGTGAATACAGAATCTTGTTCCTTAGGTCAACCTATACTGCATCATGTTGTCCAGATGGAAGGTTTGCATACCTTTCATGCCATAGTAGGAGAAGCGTTCACAGAACTCATTCACCACTACGAAGCAGATGCTGGTTGGGTAATTGGTCCCACATAGTTTCTAGAAGAGGCAAAGTTTGTTAACTGAATGAGGTGCAACATATAAACATACAGTTTGAGACATAACTCACACACACACACACTGACAATAAATAAACCCCTGTCTAATCTCTTTTCTCTGAGTCAAATATAAACAAAAACCTTTTGTTCAATCAATAGTTTTACTATCTCTAACAGAGAGTTGATCGATAATTCGTTATGGAATGGTAGGAATGTGGCTGTTGCTTTCCTCCTCTTAGTCAGTGACTTATAAAGTAAATCATGATGCAGAAATAAAAGTTACACAAACTTCTGATACAATCAGCTAAACTGATGAAAAATGTCCAACATAATCTTATAATAAGATAATAAACTACAGGTTTTGTAACTAATAATAGTATTAGTTTATACTTATTAGACCAGCAGTTAGGAAACATGAGTCCCTTAAAATATGAATGAATCCTTAATTTACCCATTAAAACATACCCAACACCTTAATTGTGGTTTAAAATGATGCAAGCCAAACCCCTTAAAAACTTAATTTGAAAAGCCCTGTTTAATAAAGTACAATTCAAAACACACAATACGCTTGTATTGTGTGTATATATATATGAATGAATAAACTTAAGAGCTGAATCATTTAGTTGATAAGTCAATCACAGCAGTTGTGATAATCATTTAGATAAATCATCAAGTTGTGTTTTCTAACACATTTGAAGACATAACCTTTGGTTCTGGGAACTTGTGATCAACACTAATCTATTGAATTATCTCATCAGTTCATCAGTTCATCTAAAACATAATCAACAGATTAATCAGTAATGAAAAGAATGATCAGTTGCAGACCATGTAGGCTCCACACAGTAGCATCACCAGACTTTGCATCACCTGCAACTTTATAAATACTGCTTACATACTAACGTATCAATAATTTGACACTTAGTAAAAGTTGTTCAGAAGAGTACTCTTTAACATTTGAGTACTTTTAATACTTTTAATTTAATTTACTGCTAAAACTTTATGTCTATGTTCAAGTAAAATTTGGATTGGTTGACTTCTACTTCTAATAGAGGAAGCACTGCTCTGGTTTTGGTGCTGACTGGTGCATCCATATTGTAAAGAGTTATTTTTATGCAGTATTTCTTCTAATACTTATTTCAAGGGGCAGTTCCCTCAACAGTACAATACAACATATTTTCTCTTTTTCCTCTAGTAGCGTCTACCTCTGCAAACAGTACTTTTGGTTGTGTTTGTCTTGGTTTTGAGGAATCTCTCTCCAAGCTTTCTGCCTCCAGCACACTATTATGGAGATTGTTATTTTGTTTGCAGACCTCAAAGCAAAAAAAGTCAACATGCCTTTCACAAAGTCTTCAGGAAATTTGAGCTTTACAGCTTTTTTCATGACAACTGAGTTAACTCCATATGCAGAGGAGGATAATGTGATATAATCAAAAGCTTAATTAGTAGCTGTTGGACCTTGAGATTTGGTTTTGTCAATCAGTGTCTCACTTGTCTCACTCTTAACAGTTGTCAGAGGGACTATTTCTTCAGCAGAAAGTAGTTTCAGTGAAAAGTGAGGCCAGCAAAGACAAATAAATCAGAACCATGGCAAACACAAAGAAATGCGCATGGATACTGTGCATGGACAGACACCTCCGGGGATGATAAAATAGGGTTTCTCCTATTTTATTTGGGTGACAT